TCATGAACAAGTGATTAACCTTACTGACAAGAGTACCATTAGTTGTATCAATCATGAACAAGTGATTAACCTTACTCACAATAGTACCATTAGTTGTATCAATCATGAACAAATGATTAACAAACCTTAACACATAACAAGAACCTTACTTGACACAACTATGGTACTCTTGTCTTAATCACTTGTTCATGATTTGTTATGTGTTAAGGTTTATAATGTTAGTCTTGTCAGTAAGGTTCCTACAACAATCACTTGTTCATGATTGAAACAAACCTTAACACATAATGTTATGTGTTAAGGTTTGTTAATCACTTGTTCATGATTTATACAACAAATGGTAGTCCTGTCAGTAAGGTTCCTATAATGTTAGTCTTGTCAGTAAGGTTCCGTTGTGTCAATCATGAACAAGTGATTAACTAAACCTTAACACATAACAGGAACCTTACTGACAAGACTACCATAAGTTGTATAAATCATGAACAAGTGATTAACAAACCTTAACACATAATAGGAACCTTACTGACAGGACTACCATTTGTTGTACAGTAAGGTTAATCACTTGTTCATGATTTATACAACAAATGGTAGTCCTGTCAGTAAGGTTCCTATTATGTGTTAAGGTTTGTTAATCACTTGTTCATGATTTATACAACTTATGGTAGTCTTGTCAGTAAGGTTCCTGTTATGTGTTAAGGTTTGTTAATCACTTGTTCATGATTGACACAACTTATGGTACTCTTGTCTGTAAAGTTTCTGTTATGTGTTAAGGTTTATTAATCACCTGTTCATGATTGACACAACTTATGGTAGTCTTGTCAGTAAGGTTAATCACTTGTTCATGATTGATACAACTAATGGTACTCTTGTCAGTAAGGTTAATCACTTGTTCATGATTGATACAACTAATGGTACTCTTGTCAGTAAGGTTAATCATTTGTTCATAATTGGACAAGAGTACCATTAGTTGTATCAATCATGAACAAGTGATTAACCTTACTGACAAGAGTACCATTAGTTGTATCAATCATGAACAAGTGATTAACCTTACTGACAAGACTACCATAAGTTGTGTCAATTATTAACAAGATATCAATAAACCTTAACACATAACAGGATCCTTACTGACAAGACAAACATTAGTTGTATCAATCATGAACAAATGATTAACAAACCCTAACACATAACAGGAACCTTACTGACAAGAGTACATTACTTGTGTTAATTATGAACAAGAGATCAATAAACCTTAACACATAACAGGATCCTTACTGACAAGACTAACATTAGTTGTATCAATCATGAACAAATGATTAACAAACCCTAACACATAACAGGAACCTTACCGACAAGAGTACATTAGTTGTATCAATCATGAACAAGTGATCAATAAACCATAACATATAACAGGAACCTTACTGACAAGAGTACCATTAGTTGTATTAATCATGAACAAGTGATTAATCTTACTGACAAGAGTACCATTAGTTGTATCAATCATGAACAAGTGATTAATCTTACTGACAAGAGTACCATTAGTTGTATCAATCATAAACAAGTGATTAATCTTACTGCCAAGAGTACCATTAGTTGTATCAATCATGAACAAGTGATTAACCTTACTGACAATAGTACCATTAGTTGTATCAATCATGAACAAATGATTAACAAACCTTAACACATAACAGGAACCTTACTGACAAGAGTACATTAGTTGTGTCAATTATGAACAAGAGATC